TGGTCCACTGATGTCATTATCTTAATTAATGAAATAGTTGACTCGATTACCATTTAACTAATGAAATAACAAATCACTTGCTTGAAGGGGATATTGTTTTGTAGATCTTATCTTAAATTTAAGAAATAATGAATCAATATACTTGTGGGCAACATTCTCTTGAACAACGTGCAGGGTTTTGATATTCAGTTTTGTAAGTATTATAACTTAATTAATTATTGAATGAGGTTGGCTAAAAAGACATTTTAATTTTTCATTTGAAGATCCTATTTGATTTTTAAAGTTTTTTTATTGGTTAAATTTGCATTGTTTTTAAAAAAGTAAATTATAAATAGTTTATTATAGGTTGATTTTTAATAAAAGTGTTTATAGGATGTCTAAAGATTGATTCTTCAACAAGCAAACCTAAAACAAAATTGTGTCTGTTTGTGGGTGTAGAGGAGGGAAAATAGGTTTATTTTATTTTTGTGGACGAATTCATGTCATACTACTACTTATCTTGATTTTTATTTTAAATTTTAAATTTTAAATTTTAAATTTTTCAGTCTAATTACATTAAGTTAATAGCAATAGAACAAAATTTAAAATAAAATTAATAAAGATTACAAGGTCATTTTTTATTTAAACCAACGAGTATAATTTTATATAATTAAAAAATTATATTTAAATAATAATTTATTTAAAATAATTGATTAATAATTTTAAACTTTTATTGTTATAACTAGTTTAATAAATTTTGTATCCTTAGATTTCATGGGTTTATAAACTAGTTAGGATTGTCGTACTATCCTTAAATTATAAATTACAAACTTTATATTTTTCATAAATAATTAGATATTAAAATATCATCGTTAGTGATTTACTGCAACTCACAAGTTATGATTCAGGTGATGTTTTGCAAAAGATGCTCGTAGATATTTCTTAATTGTATTTCATTTAACATGAAGTTAACTGTATTTATTTTACTTATCAGTTTCAACCGACAACAATTCATTTGATGGAGTAGGGAAAGACAAAAAGTTATATAAACTACAAAAAAAAAATGTCAATAGATAACTATATATCCAACCAGTATTTTTTTTTCATGGATCTTTATAGGGAAATCTTCAGAAAAGTCCCAATATTTACGGAAAAGTTACACTTTAGTCCCAAGATTTTTTTTTGAACGAAAAAGTCCTGAAAACCGGCAAAAATTTGCAGTTTGACCCTTTTTGACCGGTTGAAACCGGTACCAAACTAATTTGGGACTATTTCGTAAACTAATCCAAAATATTGGGATTTTTCAGTAAACAAAAAATATTAGGACCTTTCTGTAAACAAAAATATTAGGACTTTTCTATAAACAAAACCTTAATTATTATTATTGTTATTATTATTATTATTATTATTATTATTATTATTATTATTATTATTATTATTATTATTAAAAATATAAATAAGAATACTATTTTTTGAACTTGTTATTTTTAATATTATTACTAATACATATAAATGCATTAAATGAAAAAAATATTATTAATAACATTGTTTAAGGGTGGAGGTGGAGGAGATGGTGATGTTTTTAGTATTGAAATCGTGAATGTCTACTTGTATATTTTTACTTTGTATATGGTCATTTCATATTTGTTATTATTGTTTTCAATTCAGAATATTAATATTTAACAATTTGAAAGAAGTTGCATATTAATAGTTTAAGGTAGTAGAGTTTCTCATTTTGTATATAAAATTGTTTAAGGTTGAAGAATTACTTTCCAAATCCAACAAATCCACTACAAACATCTACATAAGTAACCTATATTAAAATTCGAAAGTATTAATTACAATATTTTGTTTAACAAAAAGTAATAGGAATAATTCAAAAGTATTATTCAAAATTCAAAAGTATTAATCCAAAAAACATGTCCTATTACTTTTTATTGAACAAGATATTGTAATTAATATTTTTGAATTTTGATATGGGCTACCTATGTAGATGTTTGTAGTGGATCTGTTGGATTTGGAAAATAATCCTTCTACTGTAAACATTTTTATATACAAAGTGAGAAATCCTTCTAACTTAAACTATTTATAAAGAATTTTACAAATATGCAACTTCTTTTAAATTGTTAAGTATTATTATTTTTAATTGAAAACAATAACAACAAATGTGAAATGGCCATATAAAAAGTAAAAATATACAAGCAAACATGCATGATTTCAATGCTAAAGGCAGCAACATCTCCTCCACCTCCACCCTTAAACAATGTCATTAATATTATTTTTTCATTTAAATACATTTATATGTATTAGTAACAATATTAATAATAACAAGTTCAAAAAAAAGTATTCTTATTTATATTTTTAATAATAATAATAATAATAATAATAATGATGATGATGATGATGATGATGATGATGATGATGATGATGATGATGATGATGATGATGATAATAATAATAATAATAATAATAATAATAATTATAATAATAACAATAATAATAATTAAGGTTTTGTTTATAGAAAAGTCCTAATATTTTTGTTTACAGAAAAGTCCTAATATTTTTTGTTTACTGAAAAATCCCAATATTTTGGATTAGTTTACGAAATAGTCCCAAATTAGTTTGGTACCGGTTTCAACCGGTCAAAAAGGGTCAAACTGCAAATTTTTGCCGGTTTTCAGGACTTTTTCGTTCAAAAAAAAAATCTTGGGACTAAAGTGTAACTTTTCCGTAAATATTGGGACTTTTCTGAAGATTTCCCATCTTTATAAAACGAAACTTGTAAATATTTAATCAATTCTTTTACCATTCAATATCGTTTTTTTCAGTTGCTTAACAATTATAACTTTAATTAATTTTTTGGTATACTCTTAATTTTGCCATATGATTTAATTAAATGATAATTTCAAACTTTTATAGACACGTACATCCAATTATAATGAACCAAAAATTTAAGTTCTCGATCTACATATCATTCTTTATAGAATATTTAATTTTAATAAAACATAATATGATTTTTAACAAATTTTAAAGAAAAAAAATTCCATTTTCATTTCAAGAATTTTCATTCTAAATTCATTGAGTTTTAGCTTTTCTAAATGGCCATTTAATTAGTCCATTATCCTCTACCAATGACTTAAAGTGAAACAAAAATAATACTCAAAGTTAGTGTGTGTTAAAATAAAATAAAGAAATTAGGAACATAACAGACAAATTACCTCAAATCATATGGACCATTGTCTATTTTAGATGTGTTGTCATGAGCTTATTTGTTCTAGTAGTTGTTGCTCTACACTAGTACAAAAATGGGCTATGGTTACACCAAAAAACTGTGACCATATGCCTATAGTCACACCTTTTTTTTTCATCAGAAGTGTCACCGAAGGTCGTACCATTTTAGGCACCATACAGCCACTTTTAAATTTAGTGGTTGTAACATATGAAAACCTATGACCATAGCATAAAAGTGTGGTTATAGGGTACATATTTTTGTTGTTGTACATTATCATTTTATCCAATATTGTGGTTGTAAACACTTTTTAGATACATTCTTTTTATTTTAATGACTATCTTTCATGTAATGGTTACCTGAAATTATTTCTAGTGTGGCGTATTGCTATTAATTGGTCACACAAAAAAAAAATTCATTATGACTATAGACTATCGTTTAGAGACACAAAATTAAGTATAGCATGATCATGTTCATCAAATGGCCACATGAATTTATTATCACCATTAGGCTTTGCTAATAAATTGTCACACAAAAATTTATTTGGTATGACTATTAACAATCTTTTAGACACACATAATTAAGCAACTTATCACCATGTTCCCAAAATGGTCACATGAATTTATGATTTTAATGACCAAAAGTATTTTAAAAACAGATACTATATTTTTTAATATGATTATCTTATAACTTACAGTCACATACGTATAATTTATCATGACTGTTGCTATCATTCAAACACATAAAAATTGTAAAAGTAGCTATTTTATATCTTTTCGACATAGGAAATCAATTAAACATAACTGTAATTGATTTATAGAAACAAAAGTATATATAATAGTGGCCAATATTCACCTTATGAACATAACAATTTGTTTTAAGTGTGATCGATTTTATCATTTAGACATTAAAAAATTCCAGATTGTTACTATTGTTTTTATTGTAGTCACACATACATACTTAAACCATAGTTGTAAATGTCGTATAGTTATATAATATTTTTACAACTGTGACCATTGTCGAACATCCAATCACATGAAGGTAGAAATAAGTGACAGATGTTATGAAACATGACTATAAAATCATTGTAGACATACAACTAATGTTTATCGTCCTTATTGTTTAGTATTCAGTCACACAAAATTTTGATAACCATAATATTTTTTTATCCTTTAGACACACCTATAGTTTTCAATGTGGCTATTGCTCATAACTTAGATATCGCAAACCAATGCAATTGTAACCATTAGTGTTGTATCGACACACAATTTCATTTACCATGACTACATTTACCCTATTGTCACATTAGTTTTATCTTATCATGTCGTTTTTTTTAAGATTTTGACTCACAAGTATTGTTTAAATATAACAATACATAAACTATTAGTCATATGATTATTAAATAAAGTGACATATGTATCTTTTCCGACACACAAATTTTCAACGTTGTATTTGTTTTACTTCTAGTCACACGTGTTTAATAAAAAATGAATGTAAAACACTTGCAGACGCATATTAAGTTTCTATCATGACTATTGTTAGCCCTTTAGTCACACGACACATTTGTTGTGAAGTAACCATTATATACATTTTAGTGACAACAAAATAAAACATGACTTTAAAATTATTAGACACATGGAATAAAAAAACAATGTTAAATAAACATAACCGTAAATGGACAAACGACAAGAAAATATCAATATTAATAATAATTCAAATAAAAGTTTTAATTCATAATTTCACTAGTTAAATGGTAAAAATCCTTGTAATCAAAACAAGTTTATTAAAAATGTTAAAGAAAGGAATAAAGATTCATAATTATCCAAAAACTAGATTTCTTTAGTCTTGTTGAATGTGCTCCTCGTATGCTTGCCAATGCTATCTCTCGTTGTAACTTTTTTTTTTTTGCTTCATGTTCATCATCTTGAGTTAAACTTTTTCTTTGTTTCTTGGAGCTTTTATGTTCATCATCTTGAGTTGATCCCATTCGTGGTACCTGTAAAAACATTGAAAGAAATTTGAACAACTATTAATTTAAAAGACTAATTTAAAAAGGAAAAAAAAATAATGCATAAAGAAGTTAATAAAAGAAATAAACCTTTTCATTACATTTGACAAGGTATTTTGGCCATGCAACAAAAGTTTTATGTGCATCCTCAACTAAATTGATATCACCGTTTGGATATAGAAAAAATGCAGCTGCCTTTATCACTTCATCAATTGAAACTTTATAGAAGTCGTCTTGAAGTGGAACTCCGTGAATGGTTTGTCTTTCCGAAGATATGTAAACGGTACCAAAAGCAACATTACTTCTATTATTTGGATATTGTTGAATGCACTTCATTGTCTTCATTGTCTACAATGATTGCACATATTAAACAATAAACAAAAATTTATATTTTCATGTCAAAATACAAATACATACCTGTGAGAGTTTTGGTGAATGAGTATCTTTTGTTTTTGGATGTGAATTTGTAGTCGCACTCTTAGATTCAATAGTTATTTTGGTGGCATTTGCCATTACCTAGAAAACAATAATTCAATATTATATTAAAATCAGAAAATACTTCAAAAAATATTAAAATCAATGAATTTGTCAAATAATTACTTACTCGTGTAACTGTTTCATTTGTCGATGCTTTATTTATGATAGGTGTTTTCTCTATGAATAGTATTAGTAACAGGAGTGACATGAGATTCAATGTTCTTGTCCACTGAAAATACCTACAAAATTGAAGGAAAATGATCAATTTGTATAATAAATGCATTTTGCACAAACAGTAACTCACTTACTTGTGTTGGAGACCGATTCGAATGAGATGGTAGATTAGGTATCATTGTTGATTCAAGATGAGCTAAAACTAAATTTAGTGTATTATCTTGTTCTCTCACCTTTGTTGACAACGCCTTAAGTTCTTCATCTTATTTCTGCAGCTCAAGTCTCTCATTCTGTAGTTCAAACTTTAGGTCCGCAATTTGTTCTTTTGAAGATCCTTTGGTTCTAGGAATGTGGAAATATTTGTTAGCAGTCACTCCTGTGCCAACCCCTTTTAAGAATCCACCATTTTCCTTGCCAAAGACTAGTGTCATGGAATCCATCCTAGGATCAAGCTTCACATCTCCATCTTTGATTTGTTTTTCATGTTCCATCTATACAGAAAAATGTATCAAAATAATGTCTTCAATAGTTATTTAACAAGTCTATATTTATTATAGTAATTAATCACCTTCTTAATAATTAATCACACATGATCAATGGTAATTCATATGAGATAATAATTTGCTAAAACCTCATGCATTTGTATGGTATTAGAACATGTTTGAGTTTTTGGGTTTTAGACTTTAGTAAATGGGTAATCCGTTTGATACGTTGGATTTGAAGCTATCTTATTTGAATTACCCAAAACAAGAGATAAATTAATAATATATGCACATGCATGTTTTGTACAAGCCCCAATCAAAATACAATATACCATGATCATACAATTAAATGTCTTTTATTCCATTTTTGGCTTTATAACAAAAGTTTATTTACGTGGCGAAGAAAGAAAACTTGAAGATGAATATTTAGGTTGGATGTTTATATAAGATTTGTTTTAAATATATAATATAGATATAAATACACAAATATGTGTCAAATACAGCCCATCACAAATTTAATGTTATAAACTACAATATAACTCAAAGTGGTTTTCCAAATATGATGTTTATACTATAATATAATATATTAGAACAATACCATATAGTAGACGAATCACACATAGTGTCATATAGTAGACTAATCCCACATATTAGAAGAATGGTATATTAGTTGCATAGATAATATATTATAATTATATTTCATTTAAAATATGTTAGGGTCATTTGGTTATTACATTGTTGTATTAGGCACTATAATCTCAAATATTTTGAATGACTCTTACAAAAATAATGTCTCTAATTTGAATATAACGTAATATCTTATGATGTTTATTAAATGATATTATCTTCGATTGAGCACTTTTTAATTGGAATCAAATTTATTATAGTTAAAAAAAAATCTCCGTTTTTGCTTTTCATTAGTTCTAAAATATGATTTTTTATATTAACTTAAAATATGTCACTACCTCAAAATAGATTGAGAATGAGATTTTATATATTTACTTAAAATACGGCACCAATTTTAATCAATCATCAACTAATTACATTAGATACTAATGTGTACATAAAAATTACATTTAAGTTTTTAAACTAATAGTAAAAAAAAACATTATTTATTATGATAAAAAATCTGTAAATAAAAAAATATACATGCTATTTAATTACATATAAGTTTTATGTATGGCTTATTCACAATACATTAAACCATATATAACCATATTAAACTACCTAATTATCCTACTGCGCAACGCACGGGCATTCGCCTAGTAATCACATATTTGCAACGCATCAAAATCTGTGTTGTTTAATTGTGTTCATACTGCTGGTGAATTGGTTTTCCTGGTGACATTGGTTTTCCATTCCTACCTGCCTACAATTTTTCCCTTCTTAAAAAAAATGTTTTTTTGTCATCTAATAAAGATTTATTAAGCCTGTACATATGCCTATAAAAAAGAATATTTTCCAACTGCTTGTCTACTTTAAATGGATTAACACAGAAGCCCATATCAAACAAAACGAAACTCACGTTTATATAAGTCTATATGAATCTTTACAAATTAAAATCAAATGTTTAATTTTATGTATAAAACATTATATATAATGTATTATAAACTTCTTCAAATTTCTAACAAACCACATGTATCCTTTATTTTTAATAACTAAATTCCAATTTTAACCTTTAATAACTCTTTTACATCTTTTTTATACTTTCAGAGCTTCCCTAAAAACAAACACATATAAAAATACACAATCCAATCAAAGATAGAACTTACCAGTTTCTCTCTTAGAGCCGTATATCCTCCTCGTCTCATCCGGTGATTATAATTCGACTTCGAACGTGCTACTTTCGCCTTTCTTGACGTATCCTTCCAAAAAAAAAATTCACAGATCTTATAAGTATTTTTTACCTTAATAAAATATAAAATAAAAGTGATAATGAATATAAAAAATGAATTTAACCTTGAATTTGTCTGACTGTGTGTGTTCAACGAACTTGTCCCAATGATCTTGGCAAAGAATTATTGTACGGTATCGTTTAGGAATTCTTTTAAGCTTGGCAGTATTCCCTAAGTTGGGCTCTATGTACTTTGCATACAATTTTCTTCTAAAATTCCGTAGAAGCATACCAAGCCGATTCATTATATATTTTCTTCGACTATCCTCAATTTCATAAAAAACGTTGAATACAAGTAGCTAGTATGTTAGTTATTGAATGAAATTGCATTGGAGAATACCAATAACATATGAGTTGCATATAAAAAAGCATTATTTACCGTTATCTCTTCCCATAGTTTTTCCTTGACTTCTTTTGCTACCTTCTTCCAATTGAAAACACTAACTCCTACCCTTTCCCGTACTAAGTCTCCCAGATAACTAGGTAACTGTGATCTATACTTCCTTGCAAACCTTCCAAATTCATCAAACTTTACACGTTTTTTTCTTCAACCAGAATTTGTATGTTCGGTCCGTAACTTTGGCAATCGAATCAATCCCCTCTTCCTTGTTTTCTTTGTAGTATCTGTATTGCTATTGGAATCGTTGGAAGTGTAATCCGATGTGTCTTCATGTTCTGAATCATCTAGATCAGATCCATCATTTTGGTCCTCCTCCTCCATTTCCAATATAGGCACATCTTTAATCAATGTGTTTTCTCCTTCCATAATACTTAATTAAACATGAAAAATAACATATAAGTTAGTGTAATCAGATTAGTATTTCATTAAATAATATGATATCATACAATAATATTTAACATAAATTATTGATTTACGCTTTTCATCGAACAGTTGGTATGCAATAATCATACCCGGTGTTCAAAAAAATTATTTTTTGTTATGGCATAATTTGGAACAATATACTACCAGTAACATTTTTAATCAACTGAAAGACAAACTTAATGGTAACATTCATAGAGACTTACAACTGAATAAAGAACGATTTAGGTAGAAGAACACCTGTAGTACAACTGATTTTCTTTCACAATGAAGAAGACGATAAAAATTATTGAATAAATCAATCCTCTTTATAGAGATGAAATTAATATGTTCCTAATTTCAAGGATGATACTTAATATCTCGAAATTACCTTACTCAAATTGATTTGATATGATTTTGGCGGTGAGAAAGATGAGGACTTCCCACCTTGATTTTGGAGAGTAAACACATTCTTGAAATTTTCTTGTGATCCTTTCTGAACCCTAAAACGATTTTGGAGGCGAAAAAGTGTATTGATATTAGTTTGTAATTGATCCTAGATTTCATCATATCCTCCTCAAACGATTTGAAGCTATATCAACATTGGCATTTACCAAATTAAATAAAAATTACATTTTGGTCCTTGTAAAATGTGAAGAAAATCTCAAACTTTACGTGCATGTTGTGTTGGCAACATTTTTTTGACAAATTAAATGAAAAATATTAACTATTTTTTCTTTTTGTTAATTTTTTTGCTAAAGATAAATAGTATATTTATTATTTAATTAGTCTAAGTATATATAGCTATTATTATATATAAAATATAAATATATAATTTATTTAATATATAATATAATAGTAAGGTTCGATTCGGTGGATATGTTGATAATCTGTAGTAATCTAATAGGTTGTAGGTCATAATCTCATATGCCCTAAAGTTACAGGTCATTATCTTTCAGTGGATATGTTGATAATCTGTAGTAATCTAATAGGTGGCAGTGGTAGGTGATGGATGGGGGTGGTAGTGGCGGTGACGATGGTAGGTGGTGGTTGCAGGTGGAGGTAGTAATGGTTGCTGTTTTTTGTGGTGGAGGTAGGCGGTGGTGACGACATTGGTAGGTTGTGGTGGTGGTGGTTGGTAGTGGAGACTGTAGTTGTGGTGGCGGCGGTAGTGGTAACGATGGTGGTGGCAGGTGACGGGTAGGGGTGGTAGTGGCGGTGGTAATCTAAGTACCGAATGATGTATCCTAAGAAGTCAACACATGGACATACACATGTGAAACTACAAATTAACTTCTCACATTAACATACAAGATTTGTTAGGAGAATGATAGTCCACATGATAATCTAAGTACCGAAGGAGCATAATATTCTTTCGAAACTACTTCGGTATCAAAAGCTTCACTCTATCTTCATTAGGACTCATTCGGTATAGGACAACTTCAATAATATAATCTTTAAAATAGTCACAACAAAATCAGCACTCTACATTCTCCTCCTTTGTGATGTTGCATGATTTCCGAAGTCATCGACAAATATATTGTTAGGTTTTTATTCAAAAATTAGTTTCGAAAATTCAAAATCTAGCAACGGAAGACTTTATAATTTTAGAATAATATAAACTATTTTAAACTCACCTAGGATCTTCTTGCAAAGTTCGGAAAGAAAAACATCAACCAAAGAATGAATAAGAAGATGACAACTTTTATAGTCGTTTAAATCCTAAATGGAGGGCTTGAATATTGATGTAGAATGTAGATTAGAACTCTTTCATAGATGGAAACACCAACAAAAACTAAACATGAGATGCTACTCAAAACTCTTAAGCTTTAAGTTCATATCCAAATATGACTTAAAGAGAGAAAAATACGAGCAAGTATTCTAACACCTTTTTACTAGAGGGAAGATAAGAGTGTGAGAACATGCTACTTACGATTTCAAGAGTATAGAATAGAGGCCTCATGAAAGCCTTTTTACATGCATTCTTTACCCATAAGTTCTTCAAATTTAATACCTAGCATGTTAGTATCACCAATGCTTAATCATGTTATCCATGCTTGATTTTAAGATTTGTGTTCTTTTAAATAAACAATTAAAAACATTCTCACCTCTCCTCCCTATGTAGCTCTCTGCTTTCAAGGAAGAAAATAAAGACCAAGTTTTTGTTGGATTAGTATCTAAGTCCATAACTATTTTGGTATGTACTTGACCCGATGGTGCATGGTCCTTTTGGGTTGCCTTCACCAAAGCAACTTGATAGGATGAATTATGGAGAGTAAGGATTAAATATGATTTATTAATATATTATGGGAATAATATATTAAAGGAGAAATCATATTGTTTAATTAATGTTAGTCAATAATTAATTGATAATTAGTTTTGTGACTAAAAGAGATTAGTTAAACTTAAGGGACTGGAATTATAATTATAAGATAATTGCAATTTGGGCCATGGATTGCCTTGTATTAAGGGATGGACGAATTCTAATGGGAAATCCATAAGGAAATCATCCATGGGCTTAATTAAAGGAGTCTATGGGTTGCTTAGGGCTTAAGCATTCATATTAGGGTTTCCTTGTTAGATAACCCTAATAACCCAACTATATAAAGATCCCTTAAGGCTCAAAAATGTGGCCAAGCTTCTTGTAAGGGTTTACACACGTTTTTCGCAGCCTCCAACCTCTCTCCTCTTCATCCTCTTGCTTATGGTGTTTGTGAACCATTATAGGAGTGACACTTGTGACTCTAAGCCTTCCAAAGTCATTACAAGGAGATTTGGGATTGTTATTGCTACATAACAATCAAGGTATGACCTTAAACCTAATTACATATTAATATGATTACTTGTATGTTAGAATTAGGGTTTATAGTCTTGGATTCAAAGCTTGTACAATAGAGAAACCTAGATCCAAGCATTAGGGTTTGTATGAGCACATAGGATTTCTTATGACCAAAACCCATCAGTGGTATCAGAGACTAGCTTGGTTTCAATTGTATTGATGCATTGTATAACTGAAAAATTCGATTTTTTGGATTGTGGAGGCTGGACTCGCCGAGTCCATGCCTGACTCGACGAGTCAACTCATCAGATAACGCTTATCTCGGGATTTCTTGCTGTTTTTGCATATGGATAGTTACCTTATCATGTTAGATCAATATAAATCCGATTTTATGATATATATGACTATATTCTTGATCTAATTAAAGATAATTATCAATTAACAAGATAATTGTTTCCTTATAAGATAATTGATTAATTATTTTGAGTAAATTGATAAATTGTTTTGCAAGAAATCATTAAACAAATCAAATATGGATAATTATGTAACTAAATGTTAGTTTAGATTATTTGTTATTTGATCCTTGTTGTTATGAAAAGTTTCATATTTTCCCCTTTAGGTTTTATAGTTTAAATTTGAACCCAAAAGTTTTGAAGTTTTGAAATTTAAATAGTTAAAACCCTAATGTTTTGAAATGTTTCAAAACTTGCCATCAAGTTTTGGAATTTAAAAGTTGATTAAAAGTTTAATTAAGAATGTTAAATTCTAAAACCTTAGTAATGTTTTGAAAAGTTCAAATCACACCCTTATGGTTTTATTAATTAATTAAGGAGTATAATTAAAAAGGTTTAATAAATCCATAAAAGTTTAGGTTAACCATTTAATTGAATTAAAAGTGTAATTGTTAAAGTTAACCATATAGTATTTTAAAAGTATAAAATACACCCTATACTATATATAACATTAAAAGTCTAACATTATATATATGTATGAGTAAAAGTCAGTCTTACCGTTAGTAGGCCTCATTCACGAAGCTGGTCTATAAGGGGTGTTTAAGGAAATTGCCTATAAAATGGCGATTGAATGGGTATCCACTCTTACCCACCGCACTCTTGACTAGTGGAGGGTCGTTAGCCGAACGGGTAGGATAGGACGAAACCTTCCATTATAAGTATAATGAAATACAAAGTAACTAAATGTTTTTCAAATTCCCAATCTTAGTTACTTAGGCAAAAGTGAATTGATGCAATTCCATGAAATTACACTTTGTGCCCTTGCGAAGACGTTAGTGGAGCGTGTGTGGTTTACCGGCACACTAAATGGTTCTAAGCAAAGGTAGCAAAGGGTGACTCAATGTTTGTCATAGTTCGGTGGAGCGTGTGTGGTTTACCGGCACATCGAATAGGTGATTGTAACATGTGAGGGCACCATGTAGTTTGCATGGTTATTCACACCCGCTTTGTGATCCTCGGCATCCCAGTCACAAACAAGAGGGGCATATCGAGATTTAAACATGCCATTGAAATGTTCAATGAATCTCAAAGGATCTAGGAGTTTTCATAGATTTAAAACTTAAATTTCTTTTTCGTTTTTCATGGTGGAAATTAGTGAATCGTCATTCACTTACCTTCAAATGTTCTGCAATTTGGGTTACGGCATCCCTCTCCCGAGTTGTAGGATATTGTGTTGGGTCCTAGCCTTGGAATTTCATTTGGGTGATTTACCAAGGACTCAATCAATCAACTAACTTGAATTCGTTTTTCTCCCGATGTCAAAGTTCGACAACTATGGTCTTCTCAAATCCCGTGGAACAAGCATTCCACATGAAGATGATATTCCACGATTCGATCGAGGAACAAGAAATCATGCTTCACTTCCTCCTCCTCCTCCAATTATTCTCCCTAACCCACAAGATTGTAAAATTGAAAGGTTCAATATCACTCAAGCCCTTTTGGCAAGTAAACATAAAGAGGGCAAGTCGGTGTGTGCACACGTCTTAGGGATGAAGTCACACATTGATAGATTAAGAATGATGGGATCTTGTTGTCGGTGAAGCGATGGCTGTTGATTGGGTTCTTCAGTCACTTCCTAACTTGTATAGTGAGTTCGTAAGAGAGTACTATAAGATGAACCACGACGTGACACTTATAGATCTCACCTACATGCTTATTGCTGCTGAATCAACAAT